TCTTATTTCTATAAGGGAAGGCAGTACATATTTGAGCAGTGCTGAAGAATGGAACAGCTATAATCTAGTTTGTGCAGCTCTTGCTCTATGTCACATGCTGAGTCAAAAATGTTGGGTTTACGTCCTATGGCGAGGAAACAAGTTATAACCCTCATTTTTTGCTTCACTTGAAAAAAAAACAGAACAAGCAAAATAAACTTAATTGCCCTTTCTTCAACCACGGCTGTGTTGCTGTAAATGTTTATGCCTGCAGCCTGCTGCAGCAGATTCTTGTAGCAGCAATCACAAGTTGCTGTTCCCTAGAGTAGTGAAAACCCAGCAACAAAAGACTCGTGACTGAACTGGAGGATCAGATGATCAGTTCATTCAAGATTAGAAACACAGTGAGGATAAAATCCATGCAATTACCTTCCCCTCCTTTGAGAGGCAGGGAGGAAAAGAAGGGATCTGAGTACCTGTAAAGAGGGCGTGGTAATGCAGACCCTTCTCCTTATCCTGATGAGAGCAGACATCAAATAAATACGCTTTGATGGGGCCATCAATAAAATCAGCTGCAAAATCAAAAAGCACTACTCCCAGCATGGTAATGACTATTGCCCACGTCCGCTGCTTGTCTCTCTCACCGATGAAAGCTACAAAAAGAAAAACACCCTCATTCTGACAGCAACAGTGCCATGTTCTGCAAAACCACATTTTATCTTTCCTGATACCTCCAAATCTAAACAATCCCTAGTTACGCAAGAGAGAGCAGGGCTACCAGAATCACGTCAGAGAAGCAGGATAACTGAGTCTGCATAGCACTGAGCTGTGCTAGGTTGTCTTACTGCCTTGAGTCAGCACAAGCTCAGGGTACTCCAAGCTCCACAGTCGAAAGCATCACTAATCTAACCCTTTGCACCTTCATGGCATGCTCTGGTAACCTAACACACATGCATTTTATAGTAATTTTTTGTTTTACTCTATTCATCCCATCCTTCCATTGTTTTAGATAATCAAGAGCTGACTGTAACATCTTTTTTGGGGCAAACGAATAAAAATACATTCAAGACCAACGATATCCAGGAAGAGCAAATAGATCACTCCATAATAACACATGCCTCCACTCTCTGCTGAGTTATAATCACAGCGACAACATTCCATCAAGACTTTCGAGAAGTTACATTTCAAAATGAAATATAACAGTATCTAGGGATGTAATTCCTATTTGATTTTACACATTCCAGGTACAATACAGTTTTCAGGAAGCTGTGGACTTGTATTATTCTCCAGCATAACACAGTCCCAAGTCAATCCAGTGCTGCAATAATTAAACATATGTATTTTGAACACTAATCCATCTAAAACAGGGATTAACATATATTCAGTTTGGAGGCATACCACATCACAGAAGCAATATCGATCATTTAACTTAACAAGGTAGATTTTAGTTTGTAAAAACTTCTCTGGGCCTAAGCAGTGCTTTCCTTGTATGAACTGATCAGGCAACCAGACCAATGTACAACAGACTGTAATCACACGCACAGATTACAGAACACTATGTACAGGGAACATAACATGCAGTGTTAGGATTGAACAAATATAAAGATTTCCATGTGCCCCTGCTCCTTCAATACAGACGAGTAACACAACACCCAATTTTAACATTTCATTTTAGCAGGGGAAAAAAAAACAACCCTATTTTTCTGTCTGATTCAAAAGGCTAGGATGGGTTTGGTCTGTCAGCAGAGCATATGCCCCTCACTCACCTGAGATCATCACGTCCCCATTGAGGTACAAAGCCATGCCTAACAGCATTATGATGCCCAGACCCAGAATGTACGGTCGCCTCTTGCCCCAGCTACTGGTGCAGTGATCACTGGCTGAACCTACCACGGGCTGCAGCACGAAGCCCAGGATCGGGCTGATGAGCCACACCAGGCTGTAGAGGTTCTTGGGCAGCCCTACACTGAGCAGCACTGGCGTGACAAAGGCGGCCTCCACGGCATAGCAGAACTCCCGGCCGAACATCGCCATGCTGTGCATGACCAGCCTTCCCACCGCTCGCTCCCTGGGCACCACTGCCCCAGTCCTCGTCACGGATTGCAGCGAAGCCTCCCCTTTCTCTCCGGTGCTGTCCATGTCGGCCTTGGCTGCCTCGGAAGCGGGTGGAAGAGCCCCATGGAAACTCTCTTTCGTTAAGGTCATCGCTCCGGCTAGGCGCGGTGCTCTGGCACGTCGGTGCTGCCTGCTCCGGCTGACATGGAGCCCAGGTCATATGCCGGGTGGGATCGGCCTGTGCCGGGGGAGGGACTCACATACTTTCATGGCTCTGCGATCACAAGTTATGCAAGGAAGGGGGCGGGGAAGCCTGTGTTAACATTAGCAGATCTGAGCTCTTGGGCATCTGCAAAGCTCCCACAACTGAAGAATTACTGTTAAAGCACGAAACACACATATAACGGGGACGCGCATCACATGGGCAAGGCGCAGAGTTAGCCTGACACAAAGCTGTTCCTCTTGTTGCTCTAAGACAGCGGTGACAGCAAGAATCCAGAGCTCTCATCTTTCCGTTCAGCCAACACCACAAGCACCAGACTGTGCCAATGTCCTGCTGATCAAACGGGGAAAAAAACTCTGTAATAGGCACCCAGAAAAGGACCTTGATACACTTCATGAAGATACGTAAGTGAACCTTCCTATTGCCCTAGAGTGTCAGTGGCAGATTAAAAATTTGACAGAAGTCTGTCAAACACCCACAATACAAATGATTATTTTCATTTCTGAAAAGCAATGGATATCAGCATCACTTAGGGGCCTTTTTAAAAGTCTTACCTGCCAAAAGAAGCCCTTAAAAGAAATCCGTAATGACATGCCAAAACCGTACCTTTCAGGTTAGCCACCTGAGTGAGGCAACTCATCCAACCTATGCTGAAGTTAACACAAGCCTTCAAATGCAGGTCAGCAATTTTTGGAGTCAAAACTTATGTGCACTGGAGATTCTGTTTGACGTTCCTGTTCTCCACCATGATCAGATGCATCTGAGACTAAGGAAATTGTTAAATCTTACTGTAAAGGTCTATAATACTCAGTAATCTATTCACTAATTTAGATTAGACTGATTATCAGCCAGAAACTTAAGATGCTTTTGCTGATTGTTCATCTAATTTGTCAGGACCTAATAGATAATTATTGCTTTGAGGCAGGTGTTTATGTGGTAGAATGTAAAAAGGTTTTTTAAAGTAATAATGCTTGGCATGACACATATAAAATCAGATAAAGTGTATCTCAGCCTTGGAAGCCTTTTTAAGGGACAAACTAATCTTCACTCTGACAAAATTATCAAAAGTCCCAACTTGCCGTATCATAGTTCCTGACATGTTAGACTAAAGAAAACTGCATTAAGCAATGTCCTGGGTTTAGCAAAAAACCCAGTCCTGTTTAGTGATTTTTAATTTCCGATTTAGTCTCTTCTAAGAGGCTGCACTTTCTGCAGTCAGCAGCATGTTTTTGCAGACAGTGTGTGCTACTGGCAGTGATAACACCTGATGTTCACAGTTACTGCCTGGCATTGGGATGCAGAAAGGCTCTTGCTGATACTTATTCTTACAGTGACCAAGGCCACTGCTGGCTCTTGTGTGCCACGCTGGGGGTGCCGGGTAGTGAGATGGGTCACAAGGAAATAAAAAGTTGCACCTCCAGGGGGGTAATAGACAGGACAGGTGACCAACGAGAGTATTCCATCCCATATACGTGATATTTAGTATAAATTGAGTGATCATGGGAGTTTCTATCCCTTTTCTGCCATGGCCAGTGTCCAGAGATGACTCCATCTGACCTCCTGCTTTCGATCCAGATCCTGAGTTCCTGAATCCAGCTCCCTGTATCCAGCTCCTGCTGCCGCTGAGCCTGGGGCTGCCCCAGGGCCTCCTGCTCTGCAGCATCAGTGGCGATTGATAGCGGGGGAGGGAGTCGGGTTGGATATTGGGCTAATATATTTGGTTGTATATAGTTCTTTATTTTTATCATTTCACTATTATTTCCATTATTATTTCATTAAAGCTGTTCAGTTTTTCTTCTCTAACCTCTTCTCTCTACCTCATTCCCTTTTCCTTCTCGTTCTGGGGTGGGAAGAGGGGATTAGAGAGCATCTGTGTGTGTTAGTGGCCAGCCCAGCCCTAACCCGCGACAAAGGCCATAAAACTAATTCTTTTTAAAAGCGCATCTCCTTTTGCCTTGAAGGGGACTGTTTCAAATGATGGTTTAATTTTGAAGGAAATAAAAACCCCATAGAATAACCACTGTTTAGAGCCTGTGCAGCTAAGTTGCCTACCATTTTTCCAAGAGAAGAAATGATTGATACTTGGCAGCGATTTTAAAATAACACATTTCATTCTGAAGTGACTTTCTAGGCAAACTGAAATTCCAAATGTAATATAATCAGGAGACTGCATTAAGAAAATGTAGTCAGGCTATTAAATTGAATTACTTTAGGATAATAACTGTACAGCAGCACATAAGAAAACATCATTATTTTAATCATTGTTTTGGCATGATAACACAAATGAACTAATATGGTAAGACAGAGAAAAAACCAATCCCTTGTAATCGATGAGTAAACAACACAATCATTTGTTTAGGAAGAATATAACTGTATTTTATGAAAAGTATTGCCTTCATGTAATTGCAACATATATTAGAAAGCAACAGTGTAAACAAGAATGACAAGAAACAAATGTCACAGGATAGATAGTTCAAGAAACATTTCGAGGATTTACAGCTGCTTACTAAGAAAACTGTAGATCTCAGGAAGACAATTTCGGTATCATTCTAGACTGCAGACCATCCAGGTACCCAAGTACATACTTCCCACTTTTTTTAATTAAATTTAAAACTTAGATAATTTAAAAGAAGTATATGTAAAAGCAGTATCATGGGAACATTTATTTGTTATATCACTCAACTGCTACACACAAAAACTTACTCTGTCAGACTGAAATTTGTCTAATCTGCATAGTTAGAGATTATAATTTAGCTTTTGGTATACTGAATTCTATTACTTTATCAGAATACAGTTTAGCAATCTCTTCCTTAGTAAATCCATATTCTAGAAGTATCTCTTCTGTGTGTTCTCCTATAAAAGGATCTCTTTTAAATGATGGAACAGCAGGGGTCCTTGACAGAAGAGGAGCAGGTCTAGGACTTATCTCTTCCTGATCATTTCTGATAAAAGAACTTCTTTGTTTGTTATGCTGATGTGAGGCAACTTCATCAAAGGATAAAACAGGGGTCACACAGGCATCAGTACCATCAAATATGCTGCACCACTCAGCTTGTGTCTTCTGTGCAAATACGGATGCAATTTTTTTCTTCATCTTGGGCCATTCGTAGTAACTGAACTGATTGGGAAGTTCATTATCTGAATCTAGCCCAAGACCTGAAAGGAGAAAAGCAAAGTTTAACTATAGTATAGCTTAGATAAATTATCAAGTGCTGCTCGCTACTAAGTATGTTCCTGAGAGAGCTAAGATTTTGCAGGCAGTCCAACACAGCAGAGCATACTAATTGAAAGTCACTTCAAAGTTTATTACGATATCTATCAAGGGAAGGAGAAGGAGAATAAAATGTTCCATTATTTGCAATTAGACTAAACTGCACCAGCTACAGCCTTTTAAATAAGAACATATAAAAACCACTCATTTGTATAAACACTTCACAAGAGCAGCAGCTGTGTAGAGATAACATTTTGTCCTGAGAACATTTTCTGTAACAAGCTTTGTATTTCCCTACCTGGCAGTAGCAATTCAGAAGTCTGCTGAATGGGTCCTGGACTATGACGACATACATACATCATCACAGAAGCCAATACTTCTGCCAGAGCTGGACACAGAATCACAGAATCATAGAATCGTAGAATCACAGAATATTTGGGGTTGGAAGGGACCTCTAAAGATCATCTAGTCCAGCCCCCCTGCCAGAGCAGGATCACCCAGGCCAGCCACACAGAAACGCGTCCAGGCGGGGTTTGAAAGTCTCCAGAGAAGGAGACTCCACAACGTCTCTGGGCAGCCTGTGCCAGGGCTCTGGCACCCTCACAGGAAAGAAGTTTCTCCTCATGTTGAGGTGGAACTTCCTGTGTTCTAACTTAAACCCATTATTTCTTGTTCTATTGCTGGGCACCACTGAGAAGAGATTGTCCCCTTCCTCTTGACACCCACCCCTCAGATATTTGTACACGTTAATAAGGTCCCCTCTCAGCCGTCTCCTTTTCAAGGCTAAACAGCCCCAGTTCTCTCAGTCTCTCTTCACAGGAGAGATGTTCAAGTCCCTTCATCATCTTCGGAGCTCTCTGTTGGAATTTCTCCAGTAGGTCCCTGTCTCTCTTGAACTGAGGAACTCAAAGCTGGACACAGGATTCCAAGTATGGTCTCACCAGGGCAGAGTAGAGGGGGAGGAGAACCTCTCTAGACCTGCTGGACACACTTTTCTTAATGCACCCCAGGATCCCATTGGCCCTCCTGGCCACAAGGGCAAGTTGCTGTCCCAGGGGAAACTTCCTA